TGTCCCAAGCTCCATCTGGACGAGGCCGGACCTTTGAGACCGAAGCATTACAATCGAATTTAAACACTTAGGACAGATTGGAACTCAAATGAACCCAAAGAACCCATAGTCATGGGAGGCAAATGAATATCTTTTCTCCTCAAGGGAAAACATACGAATATTTCCCCAACCATGTGGCAATATAAGAAGGATGCCTTTTTGGCAGAAATGGTTAAAAAAAAGTGTGAGAATGGTAATTTGGAGAATCTCTTGAGAGTAACAACCAACTCAATGGAAGAAGGACACGTGTCATGGAACTATCTAAAATTGGGATTTATTTTAGGCTCGCCAATAATAAAGCTACATGTGTCTAAATGACGCAAAAAAGATCAAGAAGCCTCAAAGCTTAGCAAATCTATAAACGCTTGTGGTTTTACAAGGAAAGCAGGCAATAGGATACACCTTAGTCAAGTTCTTGCTCTTCATCAACAGAAAACTCGTCGATTGGAGCTTCAATGGCCGAAAAAGGGTCTAGAGGGGTGATTAAGCAAGGAGGTGGCCGAGGATTTGTTGGCTTGCTTTTTTGTGGTCAACAAATATAAAATCCAGTTGGATTTATTATATTGGAGGCTTGTTAGTGCTTGAAGACCATGATCACGTGTTCTAGGAGCTCTTCATTTTCTTGCAAACTTATTTTGTACTATTAACTCATAATATATGCCAAGTCATACATTTCATGCGCACACTGTCACATAGAAACAACTGCATGTTTATATACTCCCACTTAATTATTGAAATGTTATTAGTTGATTATATAGGAGGAAAAGAGAAACTAGCTGTGGAGACTAGTCTATATATACATTTCTGTGCTTATACACGAGTAGAGTCAGTAGACTGATTAGATGTTTACATATATGCTTATATGTGTCCACTTTGTAGATATTCATGATGAAATGTATTAGTTGAGAATTGAGAAATGAGGAAGCCCTTTTAAACTTCAGTTTTTGCTACAATTTGTAATGTAAAACTATGTATTGATGGTTGTGCGGCACAATTGTTCTGCATTAGTTCACCTTCATAGCCCTTTTTACAGAATTACTTATCTAACCCTGTTTTTGAACACGCTGCTTTAGGCTATATTCTGACATTCAAGATTTTCATAATTTTAAATTTTCCAGATGGCAAGAGCAAGGATTTATTAACGACAAAGCAAGATGAAGCTGAGTGGGTTGAATACCAGAACATTATGCACGACGTTGTTAAAAGGAGTGGACTTAATAAGAGCACCTTTTGTGATCTCAGAGGAAATCATGATAATTTTGCCGTACCAGTCATTGGTGGGCCATTTGACTTCTTTTCAAAATACAGCCTTAATGGGCAGCTAAAAAGAAGTGGCAAAGTCAATAGTATCACTGTTGAGGTAGGTGACTTTCACAACTAATTATTTCAAATTGTTTTGTACTTTTGGTGAGGATACTGCATGTCACCATAAATTGGGCTATGAGTTTGGGAAGTATTGGTTAAAAATTTATTGTTCGAATTCACCAGCTTCAAATATAAAATTCTAGGTAATGGGGAAAAACAATCAATATGTTCACAACTCCGACGTTAATTTAATTTTTTTTGATCGATTGGAAAGCCCTATGAAGTAGCATGATCTGTTGGAAGTATATCCATACTACTTAAAATTTCTTTCATAGAGCTTCTTAAATTAACTGGTCTCAATATCTCCTGCTGCTTGTTCTCCATCCATGTTTTACAAATCTGACGATTGTGTTGTATATTAATCTCATGCTGCTTATATATCATATTGTAGCAATTCTTTTGACACCTCATATTTTCTATTTTGGGATTGGCTGTAGAGTTACAAAAATTGACGACTTAAATGTGAGGTAAATATTTGCTCCTTGTAGGTGCCTCTCCAATAAAGTCGTTACCTTTCTGGGAAAAAAATGCTAAAAGAAATTGTTATTCAAATCATGTTTGAGCAAATGTGATGAAAATTTATATTTGAATTCTCAAATTAATTATATGTATTTTTTCATTCATGCATGTACTTTGACTATCCAGACTAGCAAGCGGAAACTTCTTTTTGTTGGGTTTGACAGCACTATGTCTACCGGGTTACGAGGCCCAACCAATCTGTTTGGTCATCCGACTGACGAATTATTAACCGAAATAAGTTCTGAACTTTCACTATTGGATTCGCAATCAGCTCGGCCAGTTACCAAGATCTCCTTTGGGCATTTTCCACTTTCATTTTCTGCAGCCTCAAATTCTGGAAAAACCCTCAAGGATGTATTCTTGAATAACTCTTTGACGGCTTACTTATGTGGGCATTTGCACACTAAATTCGGTAAGAATTTAAAGCGGCACCATGAATCAAGTCATTATCCGCTCTATTCCAACCGATTATTCCAGTTGAATGCCCATCCAGTTCCTTCAGAAAATACAGCCAATTCTAATGGTGAAACAGTTGAAGAATTCTGGGAATTGGAAATGGGTGACTGGAGGAAGAGTCGAGCCATGCGCATTTTGGCTATTGATCGTGGGCTAATATCATTTGTTGATATCGATTTTAAGTTGGGAGCCTATAAAATTATTATACTTCCAACATTTCCACTCGATTCACGCTTTACCACGTCATTTCAAAACCATAATTGTCGTGCATCAGACCCTTCTTCCTGTGGAACTGTCAGAGCTCTGGTTTTTTCTGCATCTCCAATTGTGTCAGTCGTGGCTCTGGTTTATGATTCTAGTCCTAAAAAGCTGGTTGTAGTGCTGGAGACACCCATGACAAAGCTTGTAGGATCTCGGGGGGACCTCTATGTTGCTCCATTGAATTTCAAAGCTTTTGAGGATCCGTCTCCTGAAAGATTTTTATTGCAAATACAGGCAACTGATATTACGGGCAAATCAACTTATACCGAACGAAGGCCGTTTTCAGCAAATGGTCATCATGCCAGGCTCTCGTGGAGTTGGAAAGAGTTTTTGGTTATGGGTTGTCAGTGGGATGCCTTGTACTACCCGATACTATGGTCCTTATATTATTTAGCGCTCTCCATTCTTCTCATTCCAAAAGCAATCCTCTCATTTTCAAAAAAGCAGTACACGTATAAGAATTTTAAAGCCAATAAAAGCGTCACCAATGGCCTGGCTTGGATTTTTAAGGAGTTATATGAAGTTCCTATAGTATGGTACTCTATGGTAGGTTACGTGTTCTATCTTGTGTTATGTCCTTGGTTTTCTGGTCAAATTTTGTCTGAAGGCATAGAACGAGGATACATGACATACAGAGGTTGGGTATTGAAAATCAATAAAATAGGAAAGTCAGAATTTCTAGGATATCCAGATGTAATGGTAGTCGTTCTTCCTCATCTTTTTTTCGTAGTTTTGCCTGCATTTACAGTGATCCTGGCATTAGCAGCTGAAAAGGGAATATTTCATGATCATCTTCTCTCTGTTTCAAGTAAAAAAAAAGATGATCACGTTTCAGAAAATAAGGATTCCGCATTGATGAACAATTGTGAAAATAGAAGATCAGAATTCATTCTGCACAGACGGTGGATTAGGAAAATTCTCCTGGTGATTTCTTTGATGATTTGTTGGGGGCATTTCATGGTACATTTTAATCCCTCTTTTTTTAACGAAAAATGGTAAATGACATCGACTGGTTTTTAGTGATATTTGATAGGAAAAGAATAGGTTCGACTTATCTTCTGTGTGCTTTATTATACTGTTAGTAATTCGTACTTCATTTCTCCTTTGCTGATGCAGAGCTGCAGAGCTCTTACGAAAGCATACGAGATGAATCCAATTATCCATTATCCGGTTTATAGCCTTGTGGTTCCGCTGATGTTGGCGTACACCATCTACAAAACGAGAAGAACTTGAGTTGCTTTTCAAGAAAATAGGCCGGCTTCACCGTTGAAGTAGTTGTTGTCTGGTAGCAGAATATAGATTTAGTAAAGCTACACACTTTCACCTCTCAATGTCATTAGCTCACACTTTTTTAACTCCAAAGAGGTATATATATTATACATTGATGCTGCTTTAGTTTTCGAACTATTATTTACTACTAGCACTTCGTTTCACATGTTGGAAAGTGAAATGATAATATCATAAACATGTTGGTAGGTATAACAGTTGAATATCGGTGGACAACATTTAGAAGAAAAAAGAAGTTAAAATTTTGTTTATAGTACCTTCCAAGTTTTGTTCAATACAAGGCAACTTATCTAAGCATGAAATATTTGCACATCTTGTTTTCACTAAAGGTTTGTTTGGCACAATTTTTTCTATTTTTAAAAAATTATTTTTAATCTAGACTCACAACTTTTCTCCACTTTTCAACCAAAAATCTTGTTTCACTTTAAAAAAATCTGTGCCAAACAAGCTTTTAAAAAAACTTGTATATTTTTAAGCACTTTACATGGGCAATGTTGATGTGAATGGAACTTGTTAGTTGTTTAATTGTGTATTAATAGTGAATTTTTACTAGTTAAAGTCATAAATGCATAGCACTTTACTGTGAAAAATCTAATTTGAATATCACGACTTGAAAAAACAATGTATTAAATAGTAAATTTTTGGAGAAAGTGTAGTTAAAAAGCAGTGAAAAAATTTGGATTTACGTATAAAATATTTTATTGTGTGAATGCGTGGTTAAAAATGAGTACGTAAAAAAGGAGTTTTAAAAGAATGGAAGACAAACATTTGCTGGCAATATTTACTTGACAATACATGGAAGCATGAATTTGTTCATCTACTTGGTTATCCTCAAAACCTTTGCCCCACTCCATGCAACATTTTGTAGAGAAAAAGGTTGTTTGCTTGCTTGCTTAACTATCCTCAGTGAATAATGCTATTTTTCCTCGTGGGAAATGGGAATCATCAACAATCTATGTGACAAGCTATTAGGCATAGAATGATAAGTCTGATTAAATGTATGGATAGAGTATCCATTATTATTTAATGTTACATAACATGAAGATGATCCCATCGAGAATAAATAGCTTTACTCATCCTCTATAGAAAATACTATGCGATATCAACCATTCACCATCCTCATCTAGCAAACTGCACTTGCATTTAACCATCCCAATGTTGGCTTCCATTTCGTACCTTAAATTAGAATTCACCACCTCTCGCCAAATGTGCGCGCCATCCTCAACCAAGCCAAAAATGTTACCACAGTTTGGACTGAACTGCTATCAATTTGTAGCATGGACTGGAGCCACTACATATATTGCACAATTAGTGTCTTGCGCGAGTTCAGCTTGTATGTCAAATGAACGGTTAAGTGAGCCTCTTTCGTCTCCAATCAACCACTCCTTCTCAGAGTTGTTACTGGCCAGATAGTCGAACCTCCTCGTTCATACCTCAATTGTCTTTAGCATCATAGTTGTCGTTGACATGGCTTATTACACATTTGGGAGCTTAGGCAAAAAATTCTTTTGGTGCCTTTTAAGAAGTAATAATAAAAACAATTAAAGGGAGCAAATGTTGATGAATAGAAATTTCGCCGACGATTCCAAATAAAATTATTATTAGAGGTTCTGACGAAAAATTATCACCGACGAACTTCCGTCATTGATTATCGTAATCAATGTCATTGAGGATGTCATCATAATCACGGACGGTGCTTCGTCATTGCTGTGAGCAGAGGAAAAAGCCTTTTAAATCATTGACAATTTTTTCTTCAACTTTTAGTTTAATAAGTTAGGCCGTGTTCGATAGGCCACATTTTTCGGAGAAGTAGGAAAATATTTTTCACTTTCTATTTTTTTGGCTGTTTGATAGGCAAAATTTTCCAAGGAAAATATTTTCCGGATTTTCCCCACACATATGCTATTTCTGGATTTTTGATGAAAACGTTTTCCCGCCTTTTTGGTGGGAAAATATTTTCCCGGCTGGCTGGAATTTTTTTTTTTTTTTTTTTGCAATGGAAACAAATTTCATAACCAATGGTAAAAATTTTTTTCACTTTAATGGACAAGGCCGCAACTTGCAACAAACCATTGTGCCTGAGCAGTGCCTCTGGAGAGGGTTCTCGTCCTCGGAATTCCACGAATACCTGAAACAAGCATTTCGACAGAATTAGAATGTGAGATCAATGTAAACTATTGTGTAACTTCACACTGAGGAAGGAGATAGCCTCATTATGTCAAAACCTCTAGGGGTGATTTTCCACCTCCAAGGGCAAGAATGGTTTCTCGGAATCTATGGCCAGTTTCTTTTACCGCCTGTCACAAAACATCAACCAAATCAAATGACACATATAAGTAACCTCTTCTGATAAATTTGATGGCATTGAAAAATAAACGAATGAACAAAGGTGCCCTCAACTGAGATTTTAATGTATTTTAAAAGTTCTTTTAAATTCAAGTATTCCAATTGAAACTTTAATGGATTTTTTTTATTTATTAAAATCTAGGTTTTTCCAACTGAGACTTTAACGGATTTCAATGAAATCTTTTAAAATCTAGAAATCCTCAATAACTCGTAAATTTATAAGGATTTCATTAATAAAGAGATTTCAAAAGAATTATAAGGATTTCAAGCTTAAAAATATACCTAACAAGCTCTATAGAAATATCTAATTTTTAAAGAAATTCTTATGGATTACGTGGAAATATACTCAATTTCACGAAATTTATTAAAATCACATGCTGGAATGCATGTATGCCTAATCTATGCAGAGTGGATGCTCTATTCAACAAAACAAGATGCTCTCGCATAACTTCTTGGAGTGCCGAATTCTCTTTCGGATATGCCTTGAAAGGAAAATGAAGGTTGAAATGTCAACAGACGAACGCATGATCTATAAAACAATTGATACAATTTGATTCCTAAACTCAATTTGGTAGCTGAGTCCAGACTTTTTTTTCCTCCCCACATTAATAGAAGTAGATAAACGAGAACTAATTCTAACTCCCACATGAGGAAATAAAGTAAAAAATCCCTACAAGAAAATAATTCTATTTGACCACTGTACATTGCTAACATCAAGAAATAAAAGCGCACACGCACATGTATAAACAATAAAGTTTCAAGTACAGGAAAATATTATTAGAATTGATACCGATGCTGATGTTGTCGAACATGAATGGTATATTTTTTTTCCCACATTCCAATGGTGCCCGTCAGTGTTGTCTATCAAAATTTATGTAAAAAAAAAAAAAAACTGTACTTATAGTATGATTGATATATAAATCCATTGGTGGATTTTATATTTATTGCTTTATAAACGACAAAAATTATATCATAAATTAATTTATTAAAATAAATTTCTTTTAATTATTCTATACATATATAATGAGCACAAGATTCAACTAAGCCAAAAGAACTTCCTAATCGTCCACTTCCTCTTTCCATATAACATCTTTCATTACAAGTCGCTCCAAGACACGATATGTGTCCTATGCATTTTGGATTGGATTTCTAGCTTTAGTCAGATCACCAATTGTGGCATTGACTAGAACCACTACGTACTCCCCAAGATTAAAGTCTCGAATGAGTTTGGCTTGTATTTCAATTGGACTTGCAGTCATTCGGCATATGAATCGTAAAGTTCTTACTGGAGAGAATCAATTGAATTGCCTTGTTCACCTTTCGACCTCAATTGTCTATATCATAGTTGATATTGATGTGGTCTATTACATGGAGATGACTCAAGCAATTTGAAATTTTGAAGCAAACTCTTTTATGTGGGCATTTTTAAAAAAGTAAAATAATAATAATAATAATAATAATAATAATAATAATAATAATAATAATCAAATGGAGGAAAATAAAAAGAATTCCATCAATGATCATAAATGGTACTATTATCGGAGATTATGACAAAAATCAACATCTATCGATGATTCAAATAAAATTGCTTAAAATAATGGGAGAGTGTCCATAATGGACACGTGGATGCCCCAACCCTAAAATAATACCGCCTAATATCACTGACATACACTCGTCCGCGATTATCAACTATAATTTCGTTGATGGTTTTATCTTTGATTATCTATTGATCGTTGGCTGTCGAGTTGATGGAGAAGTTGTTGGTGTCATCGACAATTTTTTTTTAAAATTTTAGTTTTTAAGTAGTGATGGAATATTTCGCCGATAACTTAGGATATTTTTTTTATTTTCTATTTACAATCTCTTCACCAGTAAATTAAAAAATATATATTTTAATATTATAAACTAAAATTTGGTCATAGTCTGAAATATGCCATCTAATGAATGACAATAATTTTTTGACGATAATGGAAATTCTATAAATACTTAAATTTATCAAGATATTTTCTTTAAATTATCACAGACGAGAAATTCAATGGTTAAACTTGGATTTTTATTTTTCCCTACAACTATGTTCGTTGGTAATATTTATTTTATTTTCTATAGATTTTTTTTGTTCGTAATTAAATTATGGAAATAAGTTTTTCTATTATTACAACAGAAAAAATCAGACTCTAAACTTCCATTAGTAAAATTATTTGGAAATGAATTTCCTAAAATTTAGGGCCGTAAGTGACTGCTATATATTTTCGAAGTTAAGTCATTAACAAACTTGAAGATAGGGATGACAAAAAAAAGCTCGAGCTTTTTTTATTCGAGCCGGCTCAATTTTTTTTTGATAAAATTTGTGGTGCCTACAGGCAGTCACAGTTGTCTGCTTTAGAGAGCTGTTGCTTCAAGTACCAACCAGTCTTCAGCAATCAGTTAGCTGCTTGCAAGGCAGGCAATAACCACTTCAACTGGGCCTGTGACACGAGCCCTTTTTTGCCTGCCACGTGGAGTGGCTAGTGTTACTTGGTGAGCAACACGGGCTAGTTCAAGCTCGAACTAACGCTCGAAAATAAGGTTTAACTCGTGCCTTAGCTCAGGTCCATCGAGTCACGAGCTGAATCGACTCGGACTTTTTACGAGCCGAGCTACAGATCATTCAAGTCGAATTAAGCTCCCTAGTTGAAGATAATTTTAAGAAGTCATCAAATAATGAGTCATTTAGTATAGCTAGCAAGAGTGATGTGTTTCCATGCAGGACATAAACTTCAATATTTACATAATACTTAAAAAGTTATTTTTCATTTTTGGTGATACAGTGTTTCCACGTAGAATAATACGCTTAATAAACGATTGATGTTTGTCCATATTGAAAAAAGTCACTTACTATTATTCTTGTGATTCACGTCTGTCTATCGAAAAAGTGACTTACTATTATTCTTGATAGTCTTGATCTACAACTGGTAGAATGATAAGGATGAAACACAAAAATTGAAATATATATTTGATTTGTTTTGAAAAAGAAATAAGAGAATCTTGATATTACCAGTTAATTTACTTTTGAGAGATATATTTTGAACACATGGCATGTCTTAACTAGGAAAGTTATATATATAGTTACCTTTTTGTTATAGAAGAAAGTATTTAAATTTAGGATCGCACTAGGTGAGATCAATCCAACTATTGATTTACTACTTGAGCCAAATTAGTTATATGTAATAACTATGTTCGTAATTACATAGAACAAGTGAATTTTCAATTCACATTACTTAGAGCCTATTTGGTAGCCATTTTACAACCCAAAAAATTCATTTTTTTACCGTTAAACATGAAAATCAGCAGCCATTTTTAACTTGCTGTCTCACAGGTGAGACTCACCTGTTGTAGTTAACGGTCATTTTTTTGCTGAAAATATTGCTGAAAATGGCTCCCAACAGGGGCTTAATATTATGAGTCTGTTTGAGCTCGTGCACAATGGAAAACGAGTTCCATTAGACGATACATTAGATATTGCTTTTCATATTTATGTATCTTCGTATAATTTCTCCCTAATTCCCTCTCATTTAAGGATGCGCAATCTCAAAAGAAATGTAAATAGAGTTCGATTCACAAACCTTTTTGTTTTCAAATACTACTAGACAAGGTTCTAGATTTAATTTGGCCTTAAATCGATTTTTGACACGTACAATTTTTTTTATGGAAACGCGATACTTTCATACGCGATGTACAAAATAACATTTGTTAGTCCATTGTGACACTTGAACACAACTATATGATTTACGTTAGTTTTTCTAACCAATTGATCATTCGTAAACCATTATAAGCTTAAGTAGTTAATAGAGTAAGACAATTACTTTAATGACAATTTGTATGACTTTTATAAACGTTTGTGACAAATAGAGTAGAAATCACTTTAGCTTCATCTTGACAACTATTATTTCAAAACTCTTTATTCTACATACATTCACACAATAAAATACTATGTACGTAAATTTAATTTTTTTTTTAACTACACATTCTTCACTTTTCAAAACTTTATTTTTGCCGAACGATGACATTTTGAAATTGAGTAATGCTATCTAGAACAACTGATATTTAACATCAGTTTAGGTGACAACATTAGGATCATTAAAAATGTGTGATAAAATTTATTTGTGAACTATAAATTAATTTAAAATTCCTACCAAAGGATTGATCTTTAACGTAAATTCCGCAATGGAACAATAATTACTAATTCAATATAAAAAAAAAAATTGCGCATCCACGAGGAACTTCCCTTGTATATAAATAGGGCTTTTACCATTTAATTCACAGACTACACAAACAAAACGAAAAAAACGACAATTCTCTTTCTCTGTCTCTCCGAGGCTTCATGCTACCTACCGCCCCTACAGCCGGCGCCGCCGCCACCAACAACCACTACCAAAATTCCCTTTCTGCTCCTTCCCTTCCTGGGAAACCCGACCAAAAACCCTTGTCTCTGCACGCTAAACCCTTCGCCACTGACATGATTGATCCTTCATCGTCATCTTCAATGGGTCCAATGCGAATCGATGGATCCGAAGACGACTTGATCCTATCCAAGTCCGAGTATCTGACCCGACCCGAGGTGCTTAAACGCCGGGCCCGCCGGACTAAGCAACTGGTCCGGATTTACCGGGACCACTACTGGGCCTTAATGGAGGAGCTCAAACTCAAGTACAGAGAGTACTGCTGGGAGTACGGCAAAAGCCCTTTTCAAGAAGATGAAGAGAACGAGAAAATCAACTCGAATTGCGGGGATGGAACAAGGTTAATTCAAGAGAACGTTAATTGGAATGGTAGTAAGAATGGAAATTCAGGGGTTAATAATGGGAATAATATTGTCAATAGGTGTGGGGTTCATGGGTGCAAGGCGAAGGCCATGGCATTGACGAGGTTTTGCCATATGCATATACTTTCTGACTCCAAACAGAAGCTGTATAAGGCTTGCAATTTCTCTATCAAAAGGTTTACTTCTTATCTTTGATATTTTCCCCCTTAATTTGTGTATACTTTGACGCGTTGTACATCATTCTCTCAACTCTGTATATTGATTTCGCTAACACTAGCTCGCAGCTTTTTTTTTCTTTGTCTGTTGTACCTTGTTCTTTTCTGCTGCCTATTTGGGACTATCGATTGGTGCTGGTGTTTCTTACGCGGTATTTAAAGATTGCTCTTAATTAACACCACCATTAGAACGGCCTGGGAATCATCATTTATATTCTTGGCTGCTCGGGATTGTTGGTTGTGTTTATGCATGATTGGTAGGCAGTAATTATGGTTTTACTGGTGGGCTATCAGCTGCTCTGGCAGAGTAAATGTTGTTTGCTGTTTGGACACATCATGATTTGGCTGATTGTAGGCCTAAAAATTTGGAATAAATGCTTGAAATTTTCTTAAAAAGGTAAAATACAATGTCTACAGTAGAAACTGCATGTTTAGAAACATCAAAATTTAATAAATTCGATGCTGATGCGGTGACATATTTATTGCAACAGATGAGGGTGGTAAAAAATCAGTTTGGTTTGTTTTTATTTCAAGACTGGACCAGAAAGGATAGAATTCAAAATTTTAAGGCCAGAAAGGATTGTTGAAACATATTTATATAATTAAAGAAATTATTACGAAAAACAATTTGCAATAACGAATTCGCATTAATGTCCATATTTGAAATTAAGGATGTGAAAGTAGGGAGTTCACTTTATAACAGTGAGATTAGTGAAATATGGTAGACTATTTTGATCAATTATTTAATTGACGACGCAACAGCAAAGATAGAAATCTTAACTAAATTAGAGAAGTATGGATATTTGGGGTGTGGAGATTAATGAAGAGAATCAAGATTCGAAAAGCAATTGGTCCAAGCTCGAAACCCATTGAATTATGGAAACTTCTGATTGGGTAAGTACTTATGGTTTATTGAATTATTGAAAGAGATGTTACAAGAGTAAAAAGACGATTTATTATTTATATGAATAAAGGAGATATTTAAGATTATACAAATCAACATATACTAAGCTCAAAATCATACTATATTATTTGATGATTGAATTATTGAAAGAGATCTTAAAAGTGTAAAAAGATGATTTATTATTTACACGAATAAATGAGATATTCAAGATTATACAAATCTACATATACTAAGCTCACAAATCATACAGTTAAGACATAATCCATACAATGTTTTTTCATAATAAGAATAAAGTTGTCTTAAAGAGTGATTGTGTTAAGTACGTAGTTTCAATTATTAAGAAGGCACGAGAATATGAAAAGAATGTAATGTATGGGTTAAAGTGTGTTGGAATAAATATAGAATTGCTACAACTCAAAGATACATGTTACCAGAAGGTCAAGTCTTTCGAAATTTGTTAATGAAGACAACAATTAAATAAACTAACGTGTCCTCTCACTAAGAGTAGCTTTTTAATGAAGTTGTTAACATGTTATCATAACTAGGCCAAAGACTTAGGGTCGTGTAACCTATTTATGAAAATCTGTCATGTGTCAAACCTTTAATGAATTTATGAATGTGACTTGCACAGGGAGCATGTGGAAGACAACAATAAGTCTATGTTTGGTTAATGTTTATAACGGTCCAATAACTTTTTATCCATACATTTTGTGGGGTCTAGAAGTATCACTCATTTATCCACCACTTATTTCTATTTATTTATAAATTACACCATTATGAACACTTCTAAAACAAGCTTTAAATATGTTCTCTCTTTAACCATTTAAGCTTTTAGAGGATGTAGTTAATACTTGTTAAACCAATTAATGTTATATGGTATGCTTTGTTAGATTATTAAGGACAAAGTTTCCATAAGATGAATTTTAGAGAAATGTTGATGATAAGATGGATGTGTTACAATTAGTAACAAGGATGTACGACATAACTTAAAATTCAGGATTAAGAGATTACAAAATTTGGATGGTTGTGCTATGTCTACGTAGACAAAGAATTTTCTATTTAACAAAGCTTTGTATTACCAAAAACGCTAGTTACAAAGTTAAGAGAGATAAAATCAAAGTTAACATGACCTAACTTGATTGCAAAAGATTTAAGTTTGTCTGACCATTTATGCAGTGGTGGATCGAAAGGGATGTAGTTGATCCTAGCTTATGAGAAATAATATGTAACTTTTTTCATTCATGTGTTTCAACATTGTATGATGCGGTTGTAAAGCAATTCATTTCGTTGGACCTTTTAGTGGATTTAGTGCATGAGAGAAAACGTTGGGAAAAAGGATTATGTAGTTGTCCCAAAGTTGATCAGGATTAACTATTAAGACTAAGCTTATTTATTGACTATACATTATTTGTTGGTCTCATTTGTAATATCACTTTTATGTCCTTTATTTAATGATTAAATTTAATAGTCTTTAGTGTAAATCATATAAACATTCTTTCAGGTAACTGTCTATTAAAAGGACCCCCTTCTCTATTCAAAAATTACAGAAACCTCCCTTAATGTTTAGTTTAACAACAGATTCTCTGTGCTTAGCTAAAATAATATTTTTTTATTTTTCCCTTTTATTTTTATTCAATAATTGAATCTATTATTAAATGATATGTTAATTGTCTCTTTTCCCTCCAGTTTTATACTTGAGATATTATTTTTTTTTGGTATTTTTGATTTAGATGGGAGAGTTACCTTTTTTGAAAAGAAATGTCGTTATAAGTTTTTGTAGTAGTGTTAAAATATACCTGTGAATCACTATTTATTTCTAAAAAAATTTATATGTTTTTTCCTCAATACATTTGCAACAATTTGTTTGTTTACAAATAATTAATAATGAAAAAAGATACATGTTTACATCAATGTAACAAAGATGATTAAAAAGGAAAAAGCAATTAAATGAGCAAATCAATTTTTATACTATGTTAAGTTTCAAAATTAAAATACTCTTACTGCAATACCAAAAATGCAACAAAGTTGGCACTATATTAGGTTTAAAATTTGGATTTCTTTGTTATTTCTTTTCTAGTCTAAATTTTGGATGAATTTTGTTCATTTCTTTAAAGCAGTTAATTTTGCCCAAAAAAATTATTGATAGATGACCATTTTGTGCAAAAGAGAGAAAAAGAAATTAATATCCATTAAGGTGTGTATATATATAGATTGACCTTAAGGTGTGATTTCTATAATATTTGAAAATGCATGATCTGTGTAATTTGTGATAGTTCTTAATAGTTAAAGAGATCAAATATGTCTTCTCTCCCTCCCTCCCTCCCTCCTTGTGCTCTCTCTCTAAATTTTTCTTACCATAGTAAATATACATCTGCATCTCTCCCCAATAAATTCTGAAGAAGAAGAAAAAAAAAAGAATCCATATAATGTTGCCTATCTTGAGGGGAATGACAAGATAAAAGAACTGAGTCTATCGCCTTCCACTCCTTGCTTCATATTGCTTGAGCAAACATGACTGTTCGGTTTGTAGGGTTCTGTCTTGGCTGTTCCTAAAACACTAATTTTCAAATATTGTACTTTTATGTTGGTCTACTGGCTACAAAGAGAATCATATCGGACGTATCTTCTTCTTCTTCTTCTTCTTCTTCTTCTGCTTAATTTGATAAAGTTCATATCAGATATATTCATCTTCTTTTTGTGTTTAACTTTATCAAGTTTCATGCTTTGCAAGTGTGTGTTTCTTTCACATTGTGCCATAAATAGTGCAACTTGATTTTATGGAATGAACTGCTCTGGGAGTATTAATTTTCATTCAATGTTAGTTGAAGCTGGTGTCTGCATATTGACTTGAAGAATTTGAATTTCATATTTCCAAAGCATCTAAAGTAATGAGAAAAGTTTTAGAATGAAATTATACATAGAAAGACTTCATTGATTGTTTTTGTTAAAACAACAAAAAATGGAATATAAATGGAATGAGAATCTTCAAAAGTTCACGAAATATGAACATTTGGAAAGATATGTTTGTTTACCTCAGCCTTCGTCCCACATCACATATTTATTTAAGTAAAAGATTAGATGTTGTAAGCTTTATACATGGGACGGAGCCGTTGAATATTAGTAGGCGTTAAATTATTCTTGATATTCATCTTCAAAAAGGAGATAAGGTAGCTGGTACTCTGGGCTCTAAGTAAGGTGCAAGAGTGATTATTTAATTTGTGTCGACCAAATATGTTCCCTTTAAATGAGCGAATCCACATTAGGTTTTTGGAGAATTTATGTAGTCATGGTTATAGGTTGAGTCAGTACACTAAAGTTGTGGATTGTGTGACCTACAGTTAGTGTTAATGTGTCTTTTGTGTTACTTTGCAATATTGTATTTTGATCTCCTGGTTTGGTACTTCATTGGCCATTATTTAGTACTGCTATTTTATTTATTGTATTTCTTGTATGAGTTGATGTCTTGAACATTGTGTTATCTTACCTTGATATAGAGTTTGGTGATATTTTGAATCTCTGGATATGTACTCTCAATAATATTAATAAAAAACATGCATATTTACAATGATTTGGTTTTGGTTGTAAGTTGTAAAATAAAACCTGCGATTATTAAGCCCTTGTTTGGTCTCCATTTTGTATAACTTATTTTTTTTTCCAAATTCATTTTCAACTACACATTTCAAACGACCCACAACTTTTATCAACTTTTCAACCATAAAATTCATCAACTCTTACAAAAATCTATTAAAAAACAATTTTTTTTTATCTAAACCAGACAGCGGTTAAACATGGTACAAGTGACTTTTTTGGTACAGTTTTTGTGAATTTGAGTAACTTTTGTAACAATTTTAGATTACTCGGATGTATGAACTCAGAATCCAAAACCTAAACTAGATTTGGCATTCATATTTCTAGCCTCGAGGATTTGGATCTGCTTCTTATCTCAAGACACAACCGTTTGGTAGATTTGGAGATGATACTATATTTCAAGTGAGAAATTGCATCAGATATATTTTCTTAGTTGAATATGCATAATGAGAGAGATTAAATCCTTGGTGATTATGTCCATTTCTAAAAATGTGGAGAGAGACACAAAATAATTTTGTGAAAAATATCAGTATGTGCTTTCAATTTCCAAAGCTCAACTATTAGATTGCTGATGACAAAATTAGTAATTAGTTCCCTATTTATATTTCTAAGCAGTAGGTTCAAAAGTTTGGAAATTCTAGTTCTCCCATCTTCCCCCATTTTGGTATTTGAGAGATGCTTTTGTCTTGCTCCCAATCCCTTTGGCCGCTGCGGCACTGCTACACGAAAAGCAAATAACTTTTATGCCTCCTAGTCATTTAATAAAAATAAAGAATGCACAAATCATTCAAGTCTATCCTAAATGGATGTGGAAGAAAA